TTGTGAGTCAGTTTCATATGGCGGTTATTTGATGTATTGCTCTTTTAATTGTTGCAGCTGTTTATTTTTTCAGGGAGTAGTTCGGACGCCTGCGCCTGTCCGCCTCCCTTCAAGCGCTGTGGTGGCCGCTGTCTGTGGCTCTACGACTCTTTTGTCGCCCCGACAGTCAACTACACCACAGCTGAGAGTAGGTGCACCGGGCTGCGCGCCCATCTGGCCGTGCCGCGCTCCCACGAGGAGCAGAGCTGCGCCCTCCAAATGATCGGCGACCAACTCGCCTGGCTGGGCCTCACCGACGTCGACAACGACGGCGTGTTCATCGGCGCCGACGGCTGCGGGGTGGCGACGGCGTCGTCACCGTACTGGGCGCCCGATGAGCCGGATTCGCTTCCCCTTCAGTACTACGCGGTGCTGGCGGCAGCGCCCTCCGGGTTCGGGGAAGGCTGGCACGATAACGTGCCCGACCAGCTGCGGTACCCGCTCTGTCAGCTGCCGGCCTGCTACCGGCCCGACTGCATGTGAGCCGGCGGGGCCCTGCAGCTGCCAGCGAGCCGAGTCGTCCCTGCAGCTGCCAGCGCGCCGACAGCCCCTGCAGCTGCCAAGGAGCCGACGCATTCTACTCCAGAACTGCATCGTCGCCATTAAAAGGGAGCCGACGTCACAACCTGCCAGATCAGACCGTTTAGATAAGAGATGTTAAAAGTCGCATTTTCACCGTGTACAGACACTCCAAGAAATGTGTTGTAAAATCAAGTAAAAGGTTATTGAAGATCATCGTTGGAGAATTGTTCGTCAAACACATATTTTGCTAGTTGAGGTCACTGATACCAGGTCAGGTCACAGAGGTGAGGTCACTGATGGTCACAATATGAATGTGTCGTGTGATACATGTTATATGGTCCATATCACATGTTAATCTGATAGGAATTTGGGTTATGCAACCTTAGGGGCCAGTTTAGGTTACGTTCTGGTGGAGGTCAGGTCAAGGTCAGGTCAAATTGGCACGAATTTTAAAATGGATGTTTTTGCAAAAAAAAAAAAATGGGTACCGATTCGATGCAGCTCGGCACCGGAAGTCTAATAGTGGTAACAGGTCCCGATTTTCCCGACTTTTGGGTCATTGACCTGACCTGGAAGGTCAACCAATGACCTAGGACCTTGAAATTGGGTATCATCGGCCTCGTCTCGTGACGGGCAACACGCTCGTTTTTTTCCGCGAAGGTCTATCTCGATCAGGGTCCAAAAGGCAAAGGGGTCCAACCGACCCCCCCCCCCCCCTACACGTTAGAAGCTGGCAAACGCCGCACACATGCGAAGGTTAAGACAGCAAGACTAGTGCTAAAGGTATTTGGTTTCTCCTAATATGCACGAGAGCTTAGGGGATCGCCATTCCCCCACCTTCTCCGACGAACATCTGCCTACGTCGGTTGATATGCAAATTGGTCCACCTACACATCTAACACAAAAACGCAGGACACACGTGTGGTGCTACAGCCGAACATAAAACGCAAAGCTGATACCATCACTCTCAGAACGAGAATAAACAATAAATGCCTTATTCATATCCGATACAGCGCCCGGCCCGGCACGGCGTTTCAAAGCGGCTATCCGGCGCGTATGGCCGCTGGACCAGAGCAGACGATGGTTTTTGTTCGCCTCCAGGTTGACTGCGGCAGGTACATACAGCAATCTGCAATGTCATCAGAGCAGGGAACAGGCGTGGTGGCGGACGGCAAACGCACCGTATCCGTGGGGAAGTATGATGTCTACACGGGGGGGGGGGGGCGATCTTCTCTTAGCGCTGTCGCGTAATATGTACCTAATACGTAGTACAGTACCTAATACGGAATACCTATATACCGTATGGCTAGTGTCCACTAACCACAGTTCGCTAGTGACCGATCGAAAGTTGTAACAATCAGTCATAAAACTGACAACTCTCCATTCCATCAAAGAAGGCCTTTAACCCGCGCGGGGCTGGGGTCTCCAGCCGAACGCGCGGGGCTGGGGGGGGGGGGTAAATTTTACCCCCCCCCCCCTGTTATCTCCCGAACTAATGGTCCGATTTGGAAAATTCAAACGCCAATCGAAAGATCTCATCACGAACAACTAAAAACATGTACTTAATTTCAAGTTTGAGGTCAAGGTCAAGGTCAGGTCAAGGGTACAAAATTGCAAGTTCCTACAGTATCGGCCTTGCACCGTAGTTGCCGAAGAATGGAGTCATGGACTGAGACTGATCGCCCAAAACGTGTTCTTAGACTACCAAGACAATATTCGTTGCATACAATAGTCATTCAGAGGTCAAGGTCAAGGTCAGGTCAGGTCAGGTCAGGTCACCAAAAACAAAATATAGAAAAGGGCATGTGCGACACATGTTTTATGGGTCATTTTACTCATAGAATTCAATAGGCACACTCAATAAGTGATATGGACCACCTCTGGATGAATTTCAGGTCGAGGTCAGGTCAAGGTCAGGTCAAGTGAGGTCAAATTTTGAAGTTGGTTGTTAAGGCCTAAAAAGGTGTCTATCTGATGCAGTTTTTCACGGCAAATCGAATGGTGCTATTTTTGTTTCCGTACGAGGTCTAGAACTTCCAAAAAAGTCATTTTTCAAAAAAATTGTGTGTCGTGACGTCATACAATTTTGAATAACTCCCACATTTTTGAACCGATTCTTCTAAAACTTGGTGTGTAGGTGCACATAGACCACTTCTCTGACATATATTCCGTTTTTTCGATACACTCAAAATTTTTGATTTTATAGCTATTTTCCCAGAAAAGTCAGTTTTTTGAAAAAATGGGCCAAAATCCAAAATTTCAAAAAACCGAGATAGCCATTTGATAGACAAAGTCGAATTACGTATATCCTTTTTTGTTACGTCTTGATTCCTTTAAAAATGAAGATGTTAGCGGCGTTTGAACTTTTGCCGTTTTTGAGGCGAAAATGGCGAACATGACGTCACTAAAACGTCAATTTCTCAAAAATTTTCCGACGGATTTCGCTCAAATTTTCAGGGAACGTGTCAAATTGATGTAAGAAAAGGTACTGAAAGTTTGGCGGCGGATATTGCAAAAATTCGCGAGGGGGGGGGGGGTAAAATTTACCCCTCCCCCCAGCCCCGCGCGGGTTAAGTGATGCAATCATGCAGCGACCACCATGCCCAAGCATTTAACTTTATAGCATTTGAATTCACCGTCAGTGGCTGTCAGGCTGATCGATAGGGCGTCGGTGTGAGTTGTGACGGTACCGTATTTACCTACTTCCCTGCAGCCTCTGCCCGACCAGCGAACAGTCAGAACCGTGCCGCATGACTCGAACTGACCAGCGCCTGAGATGCAACCCTGAATGGACATATCTACCAGCAGTGAGAGACCTGTGTCCCTCGCCAGACTTTTTGCTTTTCTACATACGAGGCGGCCGAGGGGAGGGGGCGAAGACAGACCTTTCTAAGCCCTTATTTTACCAGGGCCCTATGTTGTCAACGCTTCCAATATCGCATTCAAGTAGCGACTGCATTACATTTGTAATCCCAGCTGTCAATGCAGCACGTCCTATTCGGTATAGCACATGCCTCCGAGGTCCGAACGGGCGTCCCACCGGTCGATGGTCCCACCGGGATACCCTGTGCTCCGAAGGTCAGCCGGCGAGCGGACCGTTAGTGTAGAACACATCGCGTTCTGGCACTGGAACAACGGCATCGCCCTATCGGTTCCCCATTCATCGCCCTATCCATCCAACCAAAAACAGCGCACAACGCCCGCGCGCCGCTCCGTACGGTGTTGTAACTTGTAACCAGTGAGCTGGGCAGAATAGGGGGAGGGGAGAGTGGCACGCGTGACCCTGACCTCGGCACGGGCGATCCGGGTAGCTTTTGGCTAAAACTGGGGCGGACGAGAGGTGACGCTTGGTGACGACTGAGGTACGGGAGAGAAGAGAGGGAGAGAGAGGGAGGGAGAGAGAGAGAGAGAGAGAGAGAGAGAGGAGAGAGAGAGAGAGAGAGAGAGAGAAAGAGAGAAAGAGAGAAAGAGAGAAAGAGAGAAAGAGAGAAAGAGAGAAAGAGAGAAAGAGAGAAAGAGAGAAAGAGAGAAAGAGAGAAGAGAGAGAGAGAGAGAGAGAGAGAGAGAGAGAGAGAGAGAGAGAGAGAGAGAGAGAGAGAGAGAGAGAGAGAGAGAGAGAGAGAGAAAGAGAGAGAGAGAGAGAGAGAGAGAGAGAGAGAGGGAGGGAGAGAGAGAGAGAGAGAGAGAGAGAGAGAGAGAGAGAGAGAGAGAGAGAGAGAGAGAGAGAGAGAGAGAGAGAGAGAGAGAGAGAGAGAGAGAGAGAGAGAGAGAGAGAGAGAGAGAGAGAGAGAGAGAGAGAGAGAGAGAGAGAGAGAGAGAGAGAGAGAGAGAGAGAGAGAGAGAGAGAGAGAGAGAGAGAGAGAGAGAGAGAGAGAGAGAGAGAGAGAGAGAGAGAGAGAGAGAGAGAGAGAGAGAGAGAGAGAGAGAGAGAGAGAGAGAGAGAGAGAGAGAGAGAGAGAGAGAGAGAGAGAGAGAGAGAGAGAGAGAGAGAGAGAGAGAGAGAGAGAGAGAGAGAGAGAGAGAGAGAGAGAGAGAGAGAGAGAGAGAGAGAGAGAGAGAGAGAGAAAGGAGGAATAAACTAGGGAAAAAGGAGATGAAATAATGTAAGGCAAAAAACGGCCTATACAAATATTGAAAGACAAGGAAGAATAGTTATAAAAATGTTTGTTTATGGGAGCTTTAGGGCGCGCCGAAAGGTCCTTTTGCGCCCATGCGCCCCCCCCCCCCAACACCTAAAAAAAATGTAGAAAAAATAAACCTCGTGGGGTAATCAGCGTAAAAGAAAGGTCATTTAGGGAAGGAAGAGCAACCGAGCATCATGACAATGCTGCACATTACAAGGTCACAAAAGCTAGGCGCGATTATTTGTTTCAATCAATATCTGTTATGAATTCATATTTCATGGTAAATATAAAAAGTCGCGTCCAAGCAGAGCAGGATTCCAAAGAAATATTTTATTCACTACTTGGCACGTGATACAAACGTCAATGATGCTAAAGCTCATGGCACAGGAATGACGCCATTAGGGCGTTTTTTTCCGTAGGAACTACAAATCAAACTGGCCCTAACACAACACTAAACGAATTGGCGAGCGGTGTCACCGGAAATGGCTTATGGCAACATATCCTCCAAACAAGAAAAGTCAGTTGCTTGATACACAACATCGATGACATAATTTTGTGCAAACGATCTACACTTCTCTAGAAGACGTCTATAAAAATGGAATCATCGGCGCAACTGGAAGCATCTACAAACCTTGAGCAATACATCGAAACTACACAACATTGGAGGCTAAAAAACACCATTGAGAAAACACACGACGGTCAAAACGCCACATATGCACTTGTTTCATTACATACAGCTGATCCGTCGAAAAAAGAACATTAAAAGGTTCCACAAATAATCGCTAGACTACACGGCGTAGATGGCAGAAGTGAACAATGTCGTACCGTGTCCGTGATTATTCCAATACGGAAGGTCACAAAAGGTGCAGAGTACAACAGAATCGGCGGTCTCTGACTTCACAATGCCACGGATGGAATGGAACGGTTGAACAGCGATTCAACTAACCGGGTCACCCGCGAGGAACATCTCTCGATAGCAGGCAATGTGGAATCACACGATAGGCTGACCTGGGGTGGGGCTCCGTCCATTGACTGAACATGAAAACATCATCAAAACACACAAACACACGCACACACATCCACGCAAGAGTAGGAGCACACGGGGTGTCCACGGAGTCGAGGTCAGGTTGAAATGAGGTCGGTCGCCCGTCCCGCCCGCCAGAGTACAGTTGGGGCCGGGCCGGGCGATCGCAAGACAGCTGATGTAGGTACGACAAACTGGCGAGGTATGTTCCCAGTAAAAGAAGGGATACATTACAGACCCTCCTCGATCCTCATATATACACTGCTAGTAGAGTCATAGCAGGAGAGAGAATACTACGAGTGTGTAATACATACTGGAGAACGCGAAACCGACGAAAAGTGCGCAAATAATACTGATATTCCCCGAGCAGCACGGTCAACTACTACAGGACAATATGGCAAACGATATGGCAGAAATTGGAGATCTCAAAGAGGTTCACAAGACACAGAACATTTCACACGCAAAGAGCGATCATAGTGATAAGAACAACCACGCAACTGTGACATCGTGAAAAAGGATAAGGGAAACAGCAACTTTCGCAAACAAGTTGAGCTCAGCTAACGTCGGCACAAAGTATCCTTTGTGAGCCGAGTTAGAGGTTTACTTTGGCACATTAGGAAGTCTTATCACCCGCCACTGGCGACGAAAGCCGGCCAGATGGCAGTAGCTCGCATTGGCACGATCATAAAAAGACGATGAAACAATTTGGCACACGCAATACCACCGGCTGGTACCTTCGGATCTGATCCTGTAACACACACAAACTACCTCTGAGCGGCTAGGGATACTGCACATGGGTTAAAAAGGTCAATATGCATGCCTCCCGTCACAGAGCTAGAGATCAGAGCTTACAGGAGGCTAGAGTGCCACGGAACAGCCCATCTAAATGACACAGGTCGAGCATCACAGACAATTATGGCGACATCTGCAAACTGACGACAACGACATACAGCGGCTACCTCGACAAATTTGACATACAGGGTGTTCTCAGGAGTCAATGGAAGTCGATTGAAAACAGTTTTACACTTACATCGAAATAAGACCAGCTGGATAAAAATTCGTAACTTGTGGTAGCTTCATACAAGAGAAAACATTGTAATTATGAAAGTTATTCCTCCTGTATCAAAGAACAACAAACAGTAATTGAGAGTATTATACATGGGCGAATAAAAGTCAAATAAGCATGGCAAACATAAAACCTCAAAAATAGGTATAAAAACAAAGCGAAAAAAATATTCTGAACTGAGACTCAAAGAGATCACATTTGTAGATGAGAAAATATCAGTAAATTGTAAAATAATACTGATAACCAATGGCTAGCCGTACCAGGATGTTTCATAAGAGCACAACCTCGGGCTGTTCCGAACACTAAATAGAGTAAAAGGGTCTTCAGAGCCTACTTCCACGTCAGTACTTTTCCCATTCTAAAAACATGCCAGAAAAATCCACTGATGGAATGTGCTTGGCCAATAGGTCCCTGACAGATGGGGAAAAGAACACTTCTGAAAAGTGAACCAAACTAGCCACATGTTTTTAAAACTGTTAGGTCATCCACGACACATCAAATGCAAAGTGTGGTCTATGCAAAGTCATGGTCGTTCAGTCATGACTTTTACATCGCAGCCGCGCGAAAAAAAATCGCTCTTCATTGTTATAAGAAAACAATAACTTCCGAATAATCAAAACTCGTTAGTGCAAAAGCCTTGCACTGACAGACACCACTCTGTCCCACTTTAGAATTCTGGAGTTGTCATATGCCTCAAACACATGGGCAAGAAGCGCACATTTACTTTGCTGATGTGTCTGAGGTAATGGTCCTTCTCCAGTCCTCCTGCAGTGGTCCTGATGCTCTTTGTTCTCAGAGCTGTCCTAATCCTTCTTCTTGGGTTTCTTGGGGTTGCGGCTGCGCGATTTGGCCTTACAGAGCGGGCAGATGGGCGCGTTACGGTGAATCTGCTGGTGGCACGACAGACAAGACTTCATGGGCGGCGGCTGCTGCCTGTGAAACGGGAGAGAGGAAGTCAGTGTATGAGAGAGTGTCAGTGGGGGAGAGAGGGCGTCAGTGGGGAGAGTGGGGGAGGAGATAGGGGCGTCAGTGGGGGAGGGGCTGGTGCAGGGCGGGTTCAGGAGTAGTTGAGAAAGTGTCAAAGCAAGACAAAAATCGAAAAGTTAAGCTAAAACGTATATCGTCTAGCAAACGAGAACCAATAGCAGCTACCTCATATAAACCGATGCCATACAAGCATCGGTTTATCACATGTCATCGGTGTCACACAAGAAGCTGCGACCGCAACCACTCGTAACAAAATCAAGCAGAACACAACCAAGCACCAAACAACCAAATGTCCTTCACACCTATAGCTAGTAACCTCAGATAAATTTATCGCCATGTTCCCATACCAACCCTTCGTTTTATTCTCCCTCCGCGCACCAAGGCTTAATCACCTCTCCTCCATAGCTGGCACCCCCCCCCCCCCCCCACACACACACACACGGCACACACTCACCTGAACGGGGTGGGTGACGGTCCTCCGGCGACCATCTGCGAGGAGCGAGCCTCCGATTTGGCCAGTACCATCACCCTGTGCGGCTGACCGGCCGACAGGCCGCCGTACGAGCCGCCGGAGCCGGAGCCGGAGCCCACCACCGGGTGCAGTCCGGACTCCGGACGCTCGGCGGGCCCGGAGCGACCCGGAGCCGGCGGCTGCTCCGCCTGCTGACTGCCCTGCTCCAGCAGTCTGTCCGGGGAGAGGAGGGGTGTAATTAGTGACGGCGAAGGGTGGGTAAAGAGTCGGAGGGTAACAAAAAAAAATGAGGTCGTTTCGTATCAAAGGCTAAGAGACATTGACGCGTCACAACACATCGCTAGACTATCCAATTTTATGACCAATTCACATTACATGTGGAGAGAATATCACCATGACATTTCAACTTTTTGGCAGAAAAATAACAGCACAAAGGACATGGAAAGTAACTTGTTATCAGGTTCGGTAAAGTCTGGTTCAGTTAGTGATCAGAGCACACCCAGGCCAAAAGTGACAAAGAGATGCTCAAAGTTAGGAACAGTTGTCACCAGTCTCCGTATGCCGACTGACTTCCTATACGACCCCAGGGTAAGTCAGGTCGGATCAGGTCAGGTCAGGTCAGCTCAGCCCAGCCCACCACTGACTCATGAATGAGCAGGTCGGGTCAGGTCAGGTCAGGTCAGGTCAGGTCAGGTCAGGTCAGTTCTGCCCCAGCCCACCACTCACTCGTTGACGGGCAGGTCGGACTCGAGGTAAGGTAAGGTCAGGTCAGGTCAGTCCCCCCCCCCCACTCACTCGTTGACAGGCAGGCCAGGTCAGGTTAGGTCAGGTCAGCCCCGCTTCCCGGCCCCACTCACTCGTTAACGGGTAGGTCGGGCTCGAGGTCGGCAATGTCCACCAGCGGCGCCAGTCCGAGCTGCTGCCGCATTCGGTCCAGCTGTCCCTTCAGCGGCCGGTACTCGGCGTGTAGACGGCGCGCGGACTCCAGACTGCGACTGCGGGCCTCCTCAGACTGCTTCACCACCTCCTCAATCTACCGCAGACAGACACACAGACTCCAGACTGCGACTGCGGGCCTCTTCAGACTGCTTCACCACCTCCTCAATCTACCACAGACAGACACACAGACTCCAGACTGCGACTGCGGGCCTCTTCAGACTGCTTCACCAACTCCTCAATCTACCACAGACAGACAGACTAGAGACAGACAGACAGACAGACTGCGACTGCGGGCCTCCTCAGACTGCTTCACCACCCTCTCAATCTACCACAGACAGACAGACAGACTCCAGACTGCGACTGCGGGCCTCCTCAGACTGCTTCACCACCTCCTCAATCTACCACAGACAGACAGACTAGAGACAGACAGACACACAGACAGACAGACTGCGACTGCGGGCCTCCTCAGACTGCTTCACCACCTCCTCAATCTACCACAGACAGACACACAGACTCCAGACTGCGACTGCGGGCCTCCTCAGACTGCTTCACCACCTCCTCAATCTACCACAGGGGCGTTCCACGACAAATCGACAAGTGCCCTGCACCCTCATATTCTATTTTTTGCTTAAAATTGGTCTAATGGGTTGTGATGGGCGGGGAAGCCAGCTGTGGCAAGGATTTTGTTCTTCGAACAACGGTTTCCGAGATATAGCCTCGGGCAATTCCTGGAGTTTGCGCTGCAACCCTATGTTTGGCGGCTTATAACTCAGAAACTATTGGTTTTCTATGTTAAAAACTTTATATGGTTCAACTCACAATTAACCAACAAACATTTTGGCTATCTCGGATTTTCAATTTTTGAAAATTTTGATCACGTGACCTTTTGTCCTATTTTTCGAAGAGTGACCTTGATATTTTTCCCACTGAAAGTTGCAAATTTATCTGATGACGATTAAAGCGTTATCAATTGTCATTCATATGCGATAATAAAAAAGGTGGTTATCGCCCTGCGTTGACCTCAGGTCAGGTCATTTTTATGACCTGTCCATTATTACGAGCGGGAGCGACAGCGAGATCTCGAGAATAATGCAAGATAGCGACAAGCGGTAAACGGTACAGGGTACAAACGAATAAGGTCTAAATTTTTACTGAGGTCATTTTCAGGTCAGGTCAAAGATGACGTCACAGGAGCAAAAAGGAAGTCAAAATAGCGGCACTATACATATATATGAGGTTTTTCTCGAATAACTTTCAAGATATCCCAGCTAGGAACAAACTAATAGCACCATCGTGATCCTCTCGTCGATCCGCATCGAAACATATGTATGTTGACCTCGAAAGGTCGAAAGGTCAAAAGTTGACCTTAGGTCACGTGACCTAAGGTCAACTTTTTACCTTTCGACCTTTCGAGGTCAACATACATATGTTTCGATGCGGATCGACGAGAAGATCACGATGGTGCTTTTAGTTTGTTCCTAGCTGGGATACCTTGAAAGTTATTCGAGAAAAACTTCATATGTATGTAGTGCCACTATTTTGACTTCCTTTTTGCTCCTGTGACGTCATCTTTGACCTGACCTGAAAATGACCTCAGTAAAAATTATAGACCTTATCCGTGTGTACCCTGTACCGTTTACCGCTTGTTCGTATCTTGCTTTATTCTCGAGATCTCGCTGTCGCTCCCGCTCGTAATAATGGACAGGTCATAAAAATGACCTGACCTGAGGTCAACGCAGGGCGATAACCACTTTTTTATTATCGCATATGAATGACAATTGATAACGCTTTAATCGTCATCAGACAAAATTTTAACTTTCAGTGGGGTAAATATCGAGGTCACTCTTCGAAAAGTAGGTCAAAAGGTCACGTGATCAAAATTTTCAAAAGTTGAAAATATGAGATAGCCAAAATGTTTGTTGGTTGATTGTGAGTTGAACCATATACAAGTTTTATCATAGAAGACCAATAGTTTCTGAGTTATACGCCGCCAAACATAGGGTTGCAGCGTAAACTCCAGGAATTGCCCGAGGCTATATCTCGGAAACCGTTAATCGAAGAAAAAAATCCTTGCCACAGCTGGCTTCCCCGCCCATCACAACCCCTTACACCAGTTTTCAACGAAGAATAAAATATGAGGGTGCAAATTTAATTTTTTATTTGTCGATTTGTCGTGGAACGCCCCCACAGACAGACACACATACTCCAGACTGCGACTGCGGGCCTCCTCAGACTGCTTCACCACCTCCTCAATCTACCACAGACAGACACACAGACTCCAGACTGCGACTGCGGGCCTCCTCAGACTGCTTCACCACCTCCTCAATCTACCACAGACAGACAGACTAGAGACAGACAGACAGACAGACAGACTGCGGCTGCGGGCCTCTTCAGACTGCTTCACCACCTCCTCAATCACCTCCACCATCTCCTCAACTTGCCGGTCCCGTAGCTCAGTTGGTTAGAGCGTTAGACTCCGCGTGGTGAGAGCACGCGTTCCCGGTTCTGACAGTCCGGGTTCGAAGCGCGACGGGCGCTCGACATTTATGGGCCTCCTGACAGGTATGGTTGCGGTTGGTGGCAGGCCGTAGCCAGGCGAAGTCAGCGAGGGGACCGGCCGTGCGCGGCTTTGTGCGCACGTTAAACTTTGGACTCTAAATTCTGCCATAGAACTTGAATTGCGCGATCGGAGGGTAGAGGGCAGGGTCATCGCAACAAGCTTTGCTTTTTTTTGAACGCGAGGTTAGTGCGCTAACCACTACACCACGCAGCCAGATAACAAGCTTTGCTTAGCGGTGGGTCTGTCCTTGTGAATCCTTCCCATCAAAAGGTTCGGTCTAAATTTATAAAAAAAAATCCACCACAGACAGACAAATTAACTAGAGAAAGACAGACACACAGGCTCCAGACTGACTGAGGGATAGCTCAGCTTCACCAATGTCTCAATCTACCACAGACCACTTATCACAAAAACACGCGACTGTTTCAACCTAAATAGGCGCTGAAAACCACGAAATGCGTAAACCTCTCGGCTCTCACCAACACACATAATGAAGCTGTGAAGCGTATTATTTATATTTTATAGCGTATTATATTACATTTCCTGAAGCGTCTCCCTCCTTTACCCCTTCTCCCATCCTCCCTCTAAAGCAAACTCACGGCGTTCATATCAGCGTGGATCTGTCTCAGCTCCTCTACGTGTGCCATTTTCTCCTGGAGCAGCAGATCCATCTCACGGCGATACTCGAGCAGCGAGCGGCCCTCGGCGTCCGACACCTCGAGCTCGGTCAGCAGACGCTGGCGCACCCGCTCCAACTGCAGCTGGCCACGTCTAAGGGAGACGGAGGGAGGGGTCAGTGGCCGTTGTGTTACATACCCTGGTCAAGTCTGAGGGACGGAGGGAAAAAGGGAGGGGTCAACAAACACTGTCACGTACCCTGACTGCGTCTGGGGGTTGGAGGGAAAAGGGAGGGGTCAGCGCCAAACACTGTCACGTACCCTGACCCCACTCTGGGGGTTGGAGGGAAAAAGGGAGGGGTCAGCAAACACTGTCACGTACCCTGACCGCGTCTGTCTGGGGGTTGGAGGGAAAAAGGGAGGGGTCAGCAAACACTGTCACATACCCTGGCCCCGTCTGAGGGGCGGAGGGAGAGATCAGGAGTTCAGGACCCCACCGACGGAGGGAGAGATCAGGACCCGGCCGGAGACAGGCGAGTCCAGGCTCTGGTAAGACGAGGGTTCGGTGACGGTTAATACCATGCATAACAGATGTAGATACAGGAAATAATACGAATTAGAGCCATGCCAACAGTACACTCACATTGTAGGAGTAGTGAAACCACCCAACTTTGTCATTTCAATATACTATTCAAAAGATAATGTGAAATAATCTGACATCTGTACATATGCCAGTCATGGTAATTCCACTAACACAGTATCAGCAATTCTGAAGGACTCATTGAGTCTAGTATCAGGCAGAATATGGCCATTGCTCCTTTACTCACCTGATCTCATTAATTGTTTGCAACTTGCCAAAGGCGACTCGGTCATCCAGATCCAAATCCATGATTCTGCTGAGTGCTGATATAATTGGTGAACCTCAAACCTGAAACTCAAAATATGGATCAGCGTTGTGAGAGGTTGGAGAAAACCTTTGCTAATGTCCGCCCTCCACATCTGTTTTGATTTTCAAAATGGTTTCCATCTCTTCTTAACCCATGGGCCATGGCATTACCATTTTCCAATCCAGCCTTTCCTTATCAACCTGAGTGATGAACAAGTACCTACTCCCAATAAACAAAAAATGTTCAGACTAAACTGGCAGTCAGCATCAGCTTTTACTTTTTTGCTGAAGTTCACTTATGCATTTTTTCATTCCAAGCAGTTAGCGGCCTCCAGCTGTACAACCTTCACCAAAGTATAGTTGGTTTCACCAAACATGTGCATGGATCCGAGAAAATGGATCTGGGATCTGATCCCACGGATCCTGATCTCGGATCCGACGGGATCATAGATCCACCTCTATAATTTATCGAGAGATCCGTAGGGATCACAGATCCGAGTCTCATTTTTTTTTTTTTTTACTTGAGATCCAGTGAGATCATAGATCCTCACTTATTTTTTGTCAGCACATGTATCCCAAAAAGCACTTGTTTCAACTCACAAACGTTCTTTTTTTAGTGATTTTATGTGATCTCACGTCAGTATCCATAGTTTTGTGTCACTTATTGGCAAAGAAACCCTTTAAAACATGATTTCAATTTTTTTTTTTATAAATTTAGTCCGAACCTTTTGATGGGAAGGATTCACAAGGACAGAGCCACCGCTAAGCGAAGCTTGTTGCGATGACCCTGCCCTCTACCCTCCGATCGAGCAATTCCGATTCTATGGCAGAATTTAGAGTCCAAAGTTTAACGTGCGCTCAAAGCCGCGCACGGCCGGTCCCCTCGCTGACTTCGCCTGGCTACGGCCTGCCACCAACCGCAACCATACCTGTCAGGAGGCCCATAAATGTCGAGCGACCGTCGCGCTTCGAACCCGGACTGTCATAACCGGGAACGCGTGCTCTCACCACGCGGAGTCCAACGCTCTAACCAACTGAGCTACGGGACCGGCTGTGGTGCATGGTGGGATCCACTCAGATCATAGATCCATGTTCTTAATTTATCGTCAGATCATATGAGATCATAGATCCAAGATGTATTTTTCACGCCGGATCCGGTGGGATCATAGATCCCAACTTGTATTTTGCTTCGAGATCCACTGAGATCATAGATCAATCACTCGGATCCATGCACATGTCTGGGTTTCACCACATTGTCAGTAAGTACAAACACCAGGGCGCTGTTGGGTCGCAGTTTTTTAACAGCAGGCTGTGAGCATGCTGCTACTTCTTGGCTCCTCATTAGTCGAATTCAAGTGGTCTATTCGTTAGACCAGTGGTCGGCAGGTCCTCCGGGGTCGTGCCCCCTTTTTTGGCGCCAGGCAGGGCCATTACCCCCACCTACCACTTACTAGACCCCATTGGTGATACAACCAAGGTTACTGAAATTCCATACTTTTCCGTGACTCTTTGGGTACCATATCTGCGAGAAACCGCAGGCCCCTCCCCTGCGGTTCTCGCAAATATATCAAAAACGTTGGCACGGAGCGCCACCATTTTGGAACATTTTATCATACATCGTTTCTGCACATGTTGTGAATATTTCAGACCAGAGTCACTCGAGGTCAGGTCACCAGATCACGTCAAGTGACCTCACCTCAGTAAAGACTGCAACGCCTGCTTTAGCTGCATTGAGTGACAGATCTCTTTCAAGCTTTCAGGAATTGATAAAGGCAACAACATGTACAAAATTTGTATCTCGGAGATTTGATGTCGGTGACCAAAATTCAGGTCAATTTCACACCCTCTCCCATTATCAATGGGAGAGGGCGCAAAGTCAATGGTAGAAAATTGAAAGGCGCCTCTTTTGGTCCAGTGTCATTCCTAACACTGTGACACTCTTATTTACAAGTAAACATGACCGCTGAACCGGAAAATTGCACCCGTAACCCCACTGTATGTCCCTGAGGTCATTTCAGGTCATGAATGGTATCTAACAGCTATTCGCTAATAACTGTGATAAAGGCATCCCAGAGCGATGAAAATGCCTTAGATGTGTTCAGCTCGACGATACGGATCGACTGATGTGCAACAAAACCTTCGATGCTTCTCGACGGGAGGAGCACGATGCTGATAAAAGTGAGCTCTTGCAAGTTTTGAGTGAAAAGTTATTTAAGAAAACTATCAGCAAGCAACGTACATTTTTAATTTTGGCAGCTTTTGTCTCCTGCAGGCTAAACCATCTTCGGTTGAATCTGAGGGCAGGCATCAGAAGAAAAAAATGTTAAGAGAGCTATCGAATGCGTTTTTCCGCAGCGCTGTAGCTCTATCCTTTCCTGAGCTATAGGCCAGTTTATCGAAAACTGTCAAAGGTTGACCTGGAAATTGGCGAAATTTTACGTTCGATGACCTCTGGTGACCTGACCTTTGATTTGACCTAAAAGGTGACCATAGTTTATTCTTCATCATTTCTTACGCTCTTTCGATCGCCGACTACGGCGTTTCGCTAGTGACCCAGGGGCCAAGTTAATAGGGGGTGTTCAACCTCCATTTCCAGCAGGGCGTGGAAGTCCAGGAGCCCCAGCGGGGCGCGGGTCAACCTCCATACGTATAGGTGTAGCGGGTATTTTTCGAGAATAGATCACATTAAAAGGGTCGGATTACGAAAAAAAAACTGTACCATCGAGCCGATCATTTTTATCTGTCCTGAAAATGGCATGACCTTAAAGGAAAAGGGCCACCTTCGTGAAATATGAAGATATCGTTGTTTTTCATTTTGACATTATTATTTTTCATTTTCTTTTTAAAACTGGTGCCAGAAGTGCACAATTCGCGAAAAAGTATTTAAAACTATTTAACATATTGGTACTATGTTGATACTCTCTACGGCACCTACTGTATGATGGCATAGCGATGACGTCACACTCAAGCCAATCAGCGTTCAGAAGACAGACTCGTCGGATTGTGTCAGATAAGCTGATTGGTTAAAGCTGAGCTGGTTGGAGCTGATTGGTAAAAAACCAAACCCTCGCCGCGGGTGGCTGTTTTGTCGGATAAGAACGCATTCCTGGGATAAGGACGCATTCCTGGCGTATTTTCTTTTAAAATTGCCGAGAACTACGAATGGAGGCCGAAATCGGCCGTAAGGAGGTAGACACATAGGTTTTCGGACACGGGCTACAAGATGGCTATCTCAGTTTCAATCCCCATGTTAAAGGTGGCCCTTTTCCTTTAACCCGAATAACCGTTGATTTGTGAGATCCTTCTTGAGATCATGGCAGGCCACAAAATCTCACTTCAAGAAGTTACAGCAGGACCCGATTAACTCGGCAGTTGTTATTGACCTATGGAAGGTCACCCAATGACCAACGACCTTTAAATTGGGTAGCAGCGGCTGCTTATCTTCACGGGCAACACGCTCAATTTTTCTGCAAAGCTCCAGCTCAGAGACCGAGATGCTCAGATCAGGGTGCAATGGACGACTCCTCTCCCTTGCGTTAGTGACTGTGAAAACGCCAATAGACGAGCGCCGGCTAGTACATGACAGTTACTTTCCACGACTGTACGGAATGGTGAGCAGCTACATGAAAATTGGCATGCGCCAGCTAATCAGTTCATGCTTTGTGCGTTTGACCTCGACTAATCTTTGAATCCTGGGGCACAAAAGTTGCGATGTTTGTCCACATCCATCAAGGGAGCCATTAATTCTAAAAAAGATGAGGCTTTCTCAGAGGCCCTCATTACCCCCCGCCGAAGGGCGCCATTACCCCCAAAGGGGGCATGCCCCACCATTTGCCGACCCCTGCGTTAGACCAATGAGAGGCCAAGAAGCGCCAGCAATAACTTCCTTATATGGGGAAAACCGACAGCACGCTGGTATAAAAACAGCGAACGAGCAGAGCTCTGATCCAGCAGAAACCTAACGACAGCATTACAATTTCATGCGGGCGTAGCTTGACCCTCGCCGGACCTATTGGTTTTCTACATACGCGCCAGCCGAGGGGGGGGGAGGGCGGGTACGACCCCCTCGCCGTTTCGCCCCTGGTGGAGCTAGCGCGTCGCGGAAAAAACGACCGTGTGCGCCGTTACGAGACGCAGAGATTGGTACCCGATTTTAAGGTCCTAGGTCACCCGTGACGTCTGAGGTCAGGTCAAGTGCCCCAAGGTACGGTTCAGTTTTTGGTGTATAACTTCGCAAAAAACGGTCGCAGAGTCGCGACTTTGGCAGCATCGTGCTCGCCTCGCTCAGGTGCGTTAAATGATATATTTTTTGTTTGGTTCAAGTCAACTTAGGGTGTTGACCTCAGGTCACAGTCAGGTCAGCGCCCCCAGGTCACGAAGTTGGTTGAAAGAGGTCATGTCGCATATCATTCGATTCAGCAGGTCTTCCTAAATCCATTGATGGCTTTCCTGACTCGCTAGCACAATTTGATCGGGAGTTATTGATGAAAAACTCATATGCCCTTGTTGGCGTCACAAATGACGTCACGCAAGGTCAACATTGCAAAAGTGACGCATCTAACCTTGCAAGGAGTGCATCAAATCACAATTCTGTGTGCTTGAGATAGTTGGAGATCGTTCCCGGCGCCAGAAGAGCAGTTTTTATTTTTCCCTATTGACTTATAATGGTGAGGTCACAAAAATGAACTGACCTCATATGACCTTTAGGAAAAATCCCAGATATAGAAGTTGTGAGACTCGCAATGGATACTAGATCCTCCAGTTTCGTTTCCCTGTGAAAGCTCCTCTGGCAGCGAGGGCGTTGCGAAGGTGCAACATCTGAAGACCGTGCAGAGGTTCACTTATGACGTCATAGGTCAGTGACCTGACCTGACCCGAAAATGTGGTTGGTGTCAAAAGATCTGGCTTAAATCAAAGGTCAGGTATGCCAGGTGTCAGCTGTCTATCGCCAGTGTGTTCGTGACCTCAAAAAACCTATGGGGGGGGGGGCGCCATGGCACCCGCCCGCCCCCCCTCGGCCGGCGAGGGTTAAGCTTTGGATGTTGTAGCCTGTAGATGCTGAGTTTGGTTAAATTTCACTGCTTTTTCAAAGCAAACAAAATAACTTTCGTTCTTATGAATGCACGTACCAGCTTATATCCTTTATTAGTTGAAGCTAACATACCATATAGGGCAGGAAGCGACTGTGACATTTACGGCGCAATCGGACTTGCTTAGGACGGATTATTTTATCGAAGTAACCTATTAATTACCTGTCTATTGGCTGTGTCCCTATCCAATTTCCCTTCACGAAGGACTGATGCAATAGATGCATAAAGCAACACAAAAAGATACCTATATCTCCGTCCTCGCGCTAACGGGTGAGACTAACCCCGCGTTCGATGTCTCTCGGACGACGAAGATTCTACGTCGTCCGGCCAATCCCGTCCAAGGTCAGCGGGGGCTCGGCAGCGGTTATGGAACGTGATTGGCCGGACGGCGTAGAATCTTCGCCGTCCGGGAGACATCGAACGCGGGGTAAATGCTTACTTCGAAATCAAAGCTGCGTTGCGGCATTGGCGGTTGTGTGCGGCGTGTATGCCGCATGATTAGTAAGCGGCGACCACTAAATTAAAAACTTTATAGCTTTGACCTGTTTTCAATGGATAACACTGCATACCAAAAATGTCCATCGCTCTCGTCATAGGATATTTAGATTTAAATAACTAACTTATCTACGTAATGACATGATGTGGAGATGGAATTAAATTGATGAAATACCAGGACCTACTCCACAAGGAGATCGAATGGGTCGGAGCGCTTTCAATATGTATTATACATATCGTCGTCAGCGAATCAATAACGGGTCGAATCGAGTCGGGTATCGAAGAGGTGCAATATATCGATATGTATAATACATATTGAAAGCGCTCCGACCCATTCGATCTCCTTGTGGAGTAGGTCCTGGTATTTCATCAATTTAACTTATCTACATCATTGTTTTGAACCAAATCAATACTCAGCCGCGAACGTATAAGGTATAACCCCTTGCCGTTTCGCTCCTGATCAAGCTAGAGCTTCGCGGAAAAAACGAGCGTGTTGCCCGTGACGAGAGAAAGCCGATGATACCCAATTTTAAGGTCCTAGGTCATCAGTTGACCTTCCAGGTCAGGTCAATGACCCAAAAGGCGGGAAATTGGGACCTGTTAGAACGTCGTAGTGTGGCTGCTAAGGGGTTTTTCGGGGTGCTGATCACGAATATCATGCTAGTTTTGATCACAGATGATGTCTTCATTCATTTAGGCCAGGTCGAGTTAGGTCAGGTCAGGTCAACCAGTAGAGGTCCTGCCAGGTATTTGTAGTAGGTGTCAACCGCCTCTGACAGCCTCGTAACATGTTACGAAGGCACCAAAACTACTTTGTAAACGTTCATGTGGTTGCTTAATTCGAATTCAGCTCGAAAAAAAAAACTGGCCTAGAAACATGATAAACTCGAAAAAGTGAACCGAGGTCACCAAAGGTCAATGACCTGACCTGACCTTCAGGTGACCTTGACACCCACCCTAATGCATGGGGGCAACATCATATCACATGTTTGAACGCTTAAAACCACGAAAAGACTGCAAACGCGCTGCTAATGCGAGCCGACATACGCTGAATCGCGGTTCCGGCCAAACATGGTCTCGAAAAGTAGGTCACAGGTCAAAGGTCATTTGGGTCAGGGTCATGAAATTTTCAGGGTGGGTGTTAAATTGATCAATGCGAGGGTACTGAAAGTTTCGTCGCGATCAGCCACTTTTTAAGCGAGTTATTCGCGAAAAACCTTAGGGGGGTTGCATCACCCCCCCCCCCTGTGCGGGCGAGGTCATGTTTTGATAGCAAGACTGAAACATACTTTTTTGGGTGGCCAGGAAATAGCATGCCAGAGCCTATTCAAATTCTTTTATCGGCCTTTATATGCACCAGTCGCATACAGGTACGGGATTTAGCATACGATTTCCAGACAATCGAAAGACTGTTTGGAGCCAACAAAGGAAGGAATGAGTGAGTTAAGTTGAAAGTATTAATTTGGTTCAAAATGATGATGTAGATAACCTAGTTATTTAAAGCTAAATATCTTATGACGAGAGCGGTTGGCATTTTTGGTATGCAGTGTTATTCATTGAGAACCGGTCGGAGCGTTTGAGTCTTTAATTTAGTGGTCGCCGCTTACTAATCATGCGGCATACACGCCGCACATAACCTCCAATGCCGCAACGCAGCTTAGATTTCGAAGTAAGCATTTAGTCCCACCCGCGCTAACTGCTTCGCTACAAAAGGATCAGCCCTAAGGATGATTTGGAATAATGAGCTGTCTGTTGTTTCTCTTTTTACGTCACAAGACCTTTGGCTTTTTTGTTCTTTTCATTCTTTGTTCCTTATTTTGTTTATTTTTGCAACAAATTAAAAACGCAGTTCTATCAGTTATAATAGTAAAGAGCTAGTAAAGATGAACTTTTATGAAACTTCTCTCAAGTTTCAAACAAGTTGAATATTTTTATATCATTGGCTGTTGACGTCATAAGAGAAGGCAATATCTCTTAGCGCAGTAAACACCAAACACCTTTATGCGAGTTATTTTCCTCCTTGGATAGGTATTCGGGTTTTTCTCCACGTTTTTCTCAAGGTTGTTTTTCTCCATTGCAATTGGGGTTTTTTGAGCTTTTCCTTCAATTTGTACAAGCTCTCTACAGCAGGCTGCCCAGGAGGTCTAAGGCCGGAGGCCGGAGGAGCTGAAAGCAAGCCACAACACAAAGGCAAGCATCCATTGATTCGGTCTTTCTGATTCAGATTCACTTGACTACGAAAATCGCCTCTATAAAGACTACCTACGCTTTAGTTTCAGCAATTGTACGCTTTTGTTTTAGCCATGTTGTTGTGCTCAGTTGCTCTTAGATTGGATTTACCTTGAATTCATCTTTGGATCCTTTTGTATTCATTCCAGATCCTACCTTACCTTACCTTACCTACACTTATCGGGATTTAGAAAGGCACAACGCCTGAAGGTCCCGATCTCGTCGAGTAGGTTCTGGATACACTAGGTTAAATCTTGGGTTGGCACTGAGTAATGGATGGTCTGCCAGTGCTGGTCGAGTCGGGATTTGAACTGGGTTAGGGTCTCAGCGAGGACCACATGACGAGGAAGGGCGTTCCAGTCATTGATGGCTCGTACGCAGAGTGCGTTCCTCCGCACACGAGACGCTGCTTGAGGTTTCGCCAGCTTCCAGCCGTGCCCTCGAGTTGTAGTCATTGAGCTCCTCGCCAAAAAGTCATCAGGGTCCAGGTCGACTCCCGCGTGTAGCAGCTGGTAGATCGTTAGCATGTCTCCGCGCCGTCTTCTGTAGTAGAGCGAAGGTAACTTGAGTTTCTGGAGACGCTGAGGATATGGCAGGTTCCTGATACCTGACACCAGCTTGGTTGCTCGTCTCTGGATGCGTTCTAACAGCCTCTGATCGTGTCTGTTGAACGGTCCCCATGAAACGTTGCCATACTCGAGGAGTGGACGTACAAGAGACTTGTAGAGCAGCGTCAGTGTCTGTTCATCAAGGTGAGCGAACGACCTCCGAATCACGGCCAGGACCTGGGTGGCCTTGGAAGCTGCAGATGCTGCCTGTTTTCTAAACTTGAGGGATGAGTCGATAAAGACACCCAGATCTTTCTCTTCACTGGCAGATTCGAGACGGTTACCTCTGATTGTGTAGTGGTGCTCCTGGTTATTTGGGCCGATGTGCAAACTCTTGCATTTTGCTTCATTGAATGGCAGTTGCCATCTATCGGACCATTCAACTACTGAGTTGATATCCTGTTGGAGGTCCTGAATCTGGGATGGCTTAGATACACTGCGATAAACTTTTGTATCATCAGCGAATATCTTGATTGATGAGGTCACCACATCTGGAATGTCGTTGATGTACACCAGGAATAACAGTGGGCCAAGGACAGAGCCCTGCGGCACCCCACTAGTGACCGGTGACCACTGTGAGTGGCAGCCCCCCACCAAAACCTGTTGTTTGCGTCCAGAAAGAAAGGCTGCAATCCACCTCAGCAGGTTTCCTTCAACACCGTAGGCCCGGAGCTTTCTAAGCAGGCGCTGGTGAGGCACTGCGTCAAACGCCTTCCTGAAATCCAGGTAAATGGTGTCAAGGGGCTCACCATCCTCAATAAGTCGGCTCCACTCGTCAATCGTCTCCAGTAGCTGGGTGGAACAGGATCGCCTGGGGCGGAAGCCATGCTGGTGTCTGGATATTTGATCAGTCTCATTTAGAAAGTTCATCATCTGGTCGCGCACAATGGATTCCAGCACCTTGCAGATTATTGATGTCAGGCTGATGGGCCTGTAGTTTTCGGGTAGACTCTTGCATCCTTTCTTGTAGATTGGAATGACTGTCCCGAGCCTCCAGTCCTCAGGGAGACAGCCTGAATCCAGTGACTGCTGGAACAGTGTGGCTAGTGGGGCAGCAATAGCACCAGCAGTCTCAACCAGCACCCGGCTGGGGACACCATCTGGGCCAGGAGAACTGGTTATTTTCAGCTGCTTCAGCTTCTGGTGGACAACGTCAGCTGATATTACAATGTCCTCCAGCTTGGAGCCCTCATACTGCCATGTAGGCTCGGGGATGTGACTGGTGTTCTCCGTGGTGAAAACGCTACTGAAAAATTGGTTCAGTACCGCAGCCTTTTCACTGTCGTCACTCCTCAAGGTCCCATGTGAGTCCTGCAGGTCGTCTACACCCGACCGAGTCTTCAACCTGGACTTCGAGTAATTCCAGAAAGCTTTCGGATTGGTCTTTATGTCTGCCGCAAGCTGGCGTTCAAAGTTCTGTCGAAGGTCCCTCGTGAATGCTCGCAGCTCATTCCGGCAACGTTTAAACCGAGCAAGATCAATCGGGTTTTTGGACGCCACGTACTGCCTCCAGAGGAACTCCTTTCTTTTCTTCAATTGCAGGGCTCTCCTGTTGATGTAAATGTTCCTCTTCCTCTTCACTGGACATGACATGGGGATGGTGTCCTGGATACATCTGAGAAGGTTAGCTTTGAAGAACGCATAACCACTCAGGAAATCCATCACCAGTAGCTGGTTCCACTCCACACTGAGGAGCATACTTTTCAATAGCTGGAAGTCAGCACGTGCAAAATCTAACTTTTTACGCCCTTGGTCTTGGTACATGGAGTAGCACATGAGGTCAAATTCCAGAATCACATGATCACTAGCTCCCAGACCAGCTGAGTACCTGAGGTTCCTCACCATGCCCTCTTCATTTGACATCACAAGGTCAAGAACACCTGGGGTTTCACCATGCCGGTACCTGGTTGGCTGTCTGATGTGTTGAAACAGGTAACACTCATTCACCGCATCAACAAATGAGTGTGAATAGTGACCCACTGGAGCCGATGAATACCTTGCATCCCAGTCAATGTTCGGCATATTAAAGTCTCCTGTAATAAGTAGGTGAGATGGGTTCATATGGCATACATGGCGGAGGAGGTCACACAGGTCATCAGTGCTAGCTGCAGGTTCCTTTGATGGACTGCGATAAATGCCACCCACCAGCATGCTGTCAGAGTTCTTAAGCTGTAGTCTCAGCCACAGTTGTTCTTTGAAAACGGTTGCTGGAAATTTCACCTCAGTAGCGTGTAGCTGGTCACAGACATACATACAAATTCCGCGAAGGCCACTTGCGCCCAAATTTGGCAGAGTGCAATCAAAGCTGGTATATAAGAAGTAGCCTGGGATTGCCAACAATGCAGGGGAAATTGGAATGGTCTGCGCTTTTGGGATAACTTCTGTCAGAATGATAAGATGAGGCTCCTTTCCAGCTATTCTCATACATAAGTCATCCCGCTTATTCAGGAACTGGTCGGCGTTAGTATATACACATTTCAAACTGCTTGCTGGGGACAGCGAGTCATTGATCAGTAGGTCTAACTTGTGAAGCAGTGACCTTGTGTTGTTCGACACCACCAGCTGGTCTTGATTGTCCACCTTGCTCTCTGTCTGTCCTGGGCTGACCATCAGACCTAGCCCCAGCATTCAGCGCGGCACACACAATTTTCCCCCTTCGGATGACAAGATTTTTCTCACCTTTCTGCCTTCGGACTGCAAGCTCCTCACGCAGCTTTCTCCCCTGCTCTCTTTCCTTTGGCGTCAGGTCGGGATTGATGTAGATATTGGCATAGGTCTCGCAGCACCGAAGTTGAGGTGCCAGTCGCACAACTTCTTGCCGGATACCAACATTTTCCAGGGTCACTATTAGCAGTCGGCCCTTGTCAGGCATCTTTTTACCAGCTCTGAAGGATCTGACACATGTAACTCTCAGGTTGAATGCCTCCCTGATCATCATCTCAAAGGACTCTGCATCATGCTTTGTTCGCTCCTCAAACGTGTCACTTGATGATTCCTTCAGGTTGTGGACGACCACGTTCAACTTTCTTTTCTCCTTTTCCTGATAGTCATCAAACATTACTGACAGTTCCTGCGTCGCCTTGGCTGTAACTTTAGAGCTACTGTCCGTAGTGGTAGGAAGGGATGCTATCTGGGCACTGACTTTGCTAAGAACCTCATCACAGGATCCCTTGACCATATCAGCGTACGTAGCCTTCTGCTGATGGATTTCCTTGATGGAGTTCTTAACGAGCCTTCCGTTTTCCACAGATGCTCTTTCCTGTTCTTTCAGGCATTGCTCTACAGTCCGGATATGCGCAGTGACGGTCCGCATGGACTCAGAGACGGAGTTGGCGAGCTTGTCAACTTTTGCCTCGAGGGCCTGCAGCTTGACCGGGTTTCCTGCATCTTTGTGCTTTGGAACTGCCTTGCACTCGGGGCACAGCCAGCTCAGGACAGGGTGCCACTGTTCGATGGCTCGAAGAGCATCCTTGGAGATAGCCTGGCAGCCCGAATGATACCATGCCAAACAGCCGTCGCATCTAACTCCCATCTCTCCATCCAACACTGGATCTCCACATGTTTCTTTGCCTGGACCACCCTTGCAAAAATAGGTTTCGCTTCCACTGCTACCAGTGTCACTGGATGACCGAGACATGGACACGGAACATCCTCCCCAGGGTTTAAATGCATTATCATCAAGCTTACGTGATACTCTGCGGGTTTTCCGGTCTCCTGTCAGGTCTTCATCACTTTTTTCACAATCACTTACATTTTTCTTACCTTCAGTTACTCCACCGACTTCACTTTGTTCACCGGAAACACATCTCGACGGGCTCCTATCGCAAGCTTTGCTAATTGCTATGGTCGGAGCAGTCGGTATCTTCGTCGGCTGATCACCGGGGATCGATCCTGATCCCAATCCAGACCTAGACTGAGACTGGAAAACATCCATACACTACGCCGGACGCCCGTGAGACCCTCTTGCGCCGAAATTCGGTGCAAGTGATTTTGCGCTGAAATTTTTGCATGATTTGCGCCAAAAATTGGGTGCCATGTGTGTGCCAAAATTAAGCCACTTTTATGTAAAGCACATGTGCTCATCTACTAATCAAGGCCATTACAACCAGACAGGGCATTCCGGAGCCTTGGACGCTCTCCCATGTTTGAGCGTCCAAAAAAGTTTTTTTTTATTCCCACGGAAACCCAATACCTCAATACGCGTAGCGCACTAGCATCAGAGGCTGAAGTTTCAGGGCCATAAAAATCGGTGAAGCAAGCAGTGTGGAGGCCAGTGTTGGAATTTTCATTTTCTGTCTCGGAGAATAAAATCTGTCTGGAGAACAGACCAGCTTTAAGAACAACCAACACCAAAATCATATGCTTGGCCTGCTAAATGTGAGAACTGAGAAACGAAATGTGTCGCTGTCAAAGCTATTTCTGCATGGGTTTGATGCAATAATAGCAGTTTTCTGTCATACATAATGGGAATTTAGATTATTCAAGGTGCTGGAGCATAAATTTGCAAGGGAGAACAAAATCTTTTAAACCTGACTGGGACCAGAAAAGGGTCTTATTTTCCACACTGTGAGGCTGGCGGTAGCCAGCAAGGGCCGGGTAGCGGAGCAGCATGTGCTCCGGCACATCAGCCTCTTCTAGGCACACAGCACAGAGTGCTGTGGGGCACTGCTGGCACGCCGCAGAGTGGAGACAGCCGATTCGGTGCACGTACTGGAGCGAGCGGCCCCAGTGGCCCGCCCTCATCTAATGCACCAAAACGGCGTCCTCTCGGTCCTTTCCGGGGATAGGGAGCGGCGGTGTACTCCCGAGGAGTGGCTTGAATAGTGACTCTGACCAGTTGTCGCGCCATTGATGTGAGGCCGCACAATGAACCACCCCGGGTCTGAGCGAGCGGGCGTCCGAGGGCAGGACGGCCGATCCACCAGGTCGTCCGTGCTCTCATTCCCCTCGATAAAGACGCTCGGCGATGTTCAACAGGGTCTTCACTCTTCCATACCTATCCCCACGCCGAGGGTTGAGGCCTCACCTGGGCGGCCGCTCCACCGCTGAGTATAGCTCAGTGTGGCTCGCCACTCGCCAATTCGAGTACACGACGAACGGGGCAGGGACGTCTCGTCCCGAAATCTTTCCAGAGCTGCCCGCAGGCAGCTATAGATGGCCTTGCCTGCAAGGCAAATCTGCTGCTAGATTGACCAGCATGCCAACTAAATTCGGTGACCGTCTTTCGCCAAAGAATTCTTCAGCTGCCTTGCACCGAAAATTCAGCCGCCACCGTGCGCTGAATTCGGCGCATGCGAAGTTACGCCGGACGTACGCTGAAATTTTCGGCGCAATCCCGCTACTACGCCGGACATATTCGGCATAACGTGTATTTTTCCAGTCTTGATCCAGACTGGAAAAATAAATGTTATGCTGAATATGTCTGGTGTAGTGGCGGGATTGCCCCAAAAATTTCAGTGCACGTCTGGCGTGACTTCACATGCGCTAAATTTGGTGCACATGGCGGCTCACGGCTGGTGAACTTTTCGGTGCAGGGTGGCTGCATAATTTTTTTTATTCACCTGGCGGGGGGGGGGGCTCCGGAGAGGGGTCCATGCGAAACGTCCCCTGGCCCGCTCGTCGCATGCTCTGACTCGCAAGCTGCCCTGAGTCTTCTTAGGATCGGGAGCGGCTGCGCAGGAGAGGCCTTTATACTCGGCGCAAAGATAGGTATGGAAATTGGAAGACCTTGTCCTGCCCTCGGACGCCCGCTCGCTCAGACCCGGGGTGGTTCATTATGCGGCCTCGCATCAATAGCGCGACAACTGGTCAGAGTCACTATTCAAGCCACTCCTCGGGAGCACGCTGCCGCTCCCCATCCCCAGAGCGGACCGAGAGGACGCCGTTTCGGTGCACCAGATGACGGCAAGCCATTAGGGCCGCTCGATCCTGTACGTGCACCAGCACCGAATCGGCCGGCTCCCCTCCGCGGCGTGCCAGCAGTGCCCGGACAAGCGGTGCGCCGCGCGCCGTGTGCCGACTGCCGTGAAGAGGCCGATGTGCCGGAACACGTGCTGCTACGCTGCCTGGCCCTCGCTGGCGCCTGCTGGCCTCGAACACACCGCTCCGCTGATTTTTGTAGCCCGGGAACTTCCGGCCGGGCCTTGTTTCACCGTACCAACTTATTCGGATGCTCAAATATGGGAGAGCATCCAATGCCCTGGAACGCTCTGTCTGGTTGATATAGCCTTTGCCGGTACATTGCACATGCGCTGGATGTAAAAGTGGCTTAATTTTGGCGCAAATAGGTACCTAACTTTCAGTGCAAATCATGCAGAAATTTCATCGCGAAATCGCTTGTGCCGAATTTCGGCGCATGGGGGGGGGGGTCTAACGGGCGTCCGGCGTAGTGTATGGGTGTTTTCCTGTCTGGTTCCAGGTAGGTACATAGGTAGGAAGGTAGGTACTTATATGGGCAAGCTATTTTCTTTAGCCCTAATTTATTGTTATGTTAGGAATTCACCTTGTGAAGATGGCGGCTGCCTAACTGCCTTACACAAAAGCAAACTAATTGGTCTAGATGATTTAGGTGGCCACCTTATTACGTATTGTTGGAAGGCAACAGTGAATATACAGTGTCTGCCTTTTTTATGGACACTCAATTGTGTGGATCCCTAACTTTTTGATCACTGGCTTGTTAACATTGTTAACATTGTCACAACTTTGTTGGCTTATTATTCCACTGGGATGTCACCAGAGGCATTATTTTAATGCTTGTCCAGTTCCACGTGGGCTTTCAACTGGTATAGATACTTTTTCGAGCCACAGTGTGAGGATTTCTTTCATTTCAGATCAGTAAAACTCACTAAGCACTAAGCAGATTGACTGGAATGGACATAAAGTCTAAGTGGCCTATCAATAGTCCATACTAAGTCTAAGTAAGTGAATACAGTGGGCACACTTCTTGCTTACTTATTCCCTCTTATGAGAACACCCTTGCTCAGGCTGGCTTCATTTGGCATTAGGGTTTCTGTTTTGATAGCTATGGATTTCATATTCTGTTTCTGACTTTTTCTGTTGGCACTTGGCAGACTATGAAAAATGGGTCTGCATTGATATAATCATGATGTTTTATTAATGTCGTAGCCCCAGTAATGTTAGAGCTTTTATCAAATCAAAGTTTCCATTTTCAGAAGCGAGTCCATGATGGAAACAAAATCACATGCTCCTGCCTTGGTATGGCCACCATTCCACACAAAGGCCAATCTACATTCCACTATCTACAGTTAATCTACAGCACCCAGTCTCATAGCCCACCCCGACCACCCCTCACTGACCCGCTGTGTTTCAGACTGTCAGTGCCGCCGGGACCGAGCCGAGTGACCGCCGCCGCCATGTCGGAAGAGCGCGGCTCCGACGACGAGCTGTACCGCTGGGAGGCTGCCTGTTACAGTGAGGTAGACTCTCAGCCCGACTACGAGCTGCAGCTGCACCAGGAGCGCGAGCTGACCGCCCAGAAACTGTGGCACCTCTTCCAGAGCAGTGCCACCTGTATCGCCCACCTGCATAAAGGTGAATGGCGGCACGGACACGAGAACCTCTGGTTCCCAAAGCGTAGGGATCAGAGGTAAAGGGACTAAGTTAGACTGGGTTTGAACAAGAAAAGCAAATGAATTTAAACTTGTGTGAACCTAATGGAGAAAGATGAATAAAACCGCGTGTAAATCAGAGCACACCACTCAAATCCGTCTTTTTATTGCGGAACGGTTTTATTTTTCCTCGTTGTTGACGTGATGTCGCCCGCCTGACTGATCTCCCCCATCTATTGTCCAGGCGCCTACGGAGGGACAGGGGGAGGATGCGGTACCGAGCGGGGCGGGTCCCGCTGGATGCCGTTCCAGACGGCCGCTGGGTCCGTCACCGCCCTCTATAAAGGTGAGCCAATGATCTGTCACTGCTCTTTACATGGGTGGGTAAATGATCTGTCACCGCCCTCTACAAAGCTGAGACGGCACTTTGAGAGACACTTAAAGTTTTTTTTTTCAAGCTACTAAATAGTTAGACGAGTTAAGGTCGTGCTTCCTGGGTCTTTTTATCTTCGGCAATATGTCGTTCTCCGATCCCTCATACTGCAGTGAGCCTTTGAATTTCTGTGCTCTGATTCCCTGATCTGCCGTTATCTACTGTATCCCTCCGTGAACGCTGCGGTATGACTCGTCATGACCTGATATGACCCACTGTCCCCTGCCGTGACACTCAATGACACGCTGTGACCCTGTACAACCTTGTGTGACCCGGCATATCCCTCCATGACCCCGTGTGATCCTGATGACCCTCGTGGACCCGATATGACCCTCTCTGACCCGGTGTGGCCCTCTGTGACCCGATATGACCCTCGGTGACCCGGTGTGACCTTCTGTGACCCTCTGACCCGGTATGACCCTCTCTGACCCGGTATGACCCTCTCTGACCCGGTGTGACCCAGTATGCCCCTACGCGACCCGATATGACCCTTGGTGACCCGATATGACCCTCGGTGACCCGGTGTGACCCTCTCTGACCCGATATGACCCTCTCTGACCCAGTGTGACCCTCTGTGACCCGCAGAGTCCGTGGACGGTGTCCGGCGCTGTACCGAGTTGGGCATCCTGCACGGTCAGCAGCGGCGTACCCGGGAGCTGCTGGCGCTCACCCGGCGCCGCCGGCTGCTCCGCCGGGAGGAGGTGCTCTCGCTGCTCTGCGGCCGACCCCCGCCGCCGCCCCGGAGCGGCCATAGGTGGGTACTGGGCCGGGCGGGAGATGGGTTTTGTGTCACAGAGCTGTACATGTTAATATTTGTTGCCGTTTAGTACAGCCGTGTGGATTTCAAGTGCGGCAACACTGCACTGCTGAGAACAATAAGGATTTGCTGTAGTTTATAGTATTTTTGTTATGGTTAATCCGTCCTTAAGTTTTATCTGGAAGGTGTATGGCTTGATATTCCTGTTGAACTAAAGTAAAATGTCCTCCATCCTCACTCACTTTCGACATTGAAGGGTATCCGTGTGACGCGTCAACTTGCTGTTTAACGTCCCAACTTGTGACGTCCAATATATGTGTAACACCAGCCTTGTACCGCCACCTGTGATTCGTCCCGCCCTATAACTCCTGTAATGCCCAGTCTGACGCCCGTGTGTGTGTGGTGTGCCACCTTCAGGTCGTCGAGCCGCCACCAGAGTGCGGCGTGGTCGTCCGCCGGCGGCCGAGAGAGGGAGTCACCGCCGTCCCGGCCAGGAGCGGATAGTGCCGTTTGGAACGGTGAGAGGGAGGGAGGATAGGGAGAGAGAGGGACTGGGAGTCCCCGCCATACCCACCACCCACCCTTCTGGAATGGTGAAGGAGGGATGGAGGAAGTCCACTCTCCGCTGACAGTTTTGTGTAAAATGGTGCGAGTCTAGGACTAAAGTCCGAGGCTGTGCTATTTGTCTACGACATTGGATGCGCTAGCGCTGGTCAAGGTAGAGCACAGTCTGGCATGAGCTCTTGGCGCAGTGGTTGTTCTTCCATGAACAGCAGGCTCTGTCGTGGTGGCCCCTGGTAGCGCTCTGTCGCTTTGAACAAGAGTATCTTACCAAACGTTGTCAGTTGATGCACATCACAATATTTCTTCCTTGTTTCCTCGCCACCCTTATTTAGCATTTTTATTTTGTGAAACTAGAAATAAGACAGCCCTCATGCTGTACGTACCATTCCAACGCTACCCTTGCCTTTCGGCAACTGATTGCGTCGCCGTGCCCGTGTTTCAGGCATATCTCCGGCTCTGGGCGGGTTCCGGCCGCCATCCCCAGCCGCCGCCGCCGCCGCCGCCCCCGCCCCCGCCCTGCTGCGCCGGTCGCCGAGCCGCCGCCGCGCCAGCCGCTCGCTCTCACCCCTGGATCTCACAGCAGGTGAGATATTTACCGCCAGGGGATTTACCGCCAGGGGATTAGTACGGCCAGGGGACATGTTAGAGCCCGCCCGCCAGTGGTACAGGGACGTGGGGCAGGTTAGAGAACGCCCTGGGTTAAGCGGAGAACCAACTCCTGGCCAATATCCAGGATATTGGGTAGCATCTCATCTTCATCAGTAAATCAGTAGGTACAGCCCACCGCTAAAGTAATGTAGGGTTTTACCAATCTCAACGGTTGGCTTTGACTGGCGATTGTTTAATGCGGAGTGATCGAAAAGAAGATGTCAATAGCTAAAGTTGTAGCTGCAAGGGTGACGATACATATAAGCTACATTCAAAGTTTCATTGTAGTCTGGCTAATCGTTCCTAAGCTTCAGAAGCAGAACATACCCATGACCTAAACCCCACATTACTTCTGCTGTGGACTGTACTTATTTGCAGTTGAATTACCATTCGGATCTGAACGTGTGTAGCTTTTGACATAGTCTCCGCACTGAGCATAATAGGTCTCTTTCTCGAACTAAATGCTTTCTGACGACAGACGGCAAACAGGATGACTTGCAGCCATAGGCCTAGGAACGGGGGAGGGGAGGGTGGGGGCCATGCCCCCTTTCAGCCTTTTTTAAGTAAAATATTTATTTTTTATTTAAATATAAAACTAAGAGCAGGTAATGGTTCAGCGAAGTCAGATGAGCACAAAGCTGCAAGTATTTTTTGGGGTCCCACAAAGTGACATTGAAGTTTCGCTGCCCCCCCCCCCCCACACACACTTTTCGTGAGGCTCCTACGCCCATGCTTGCAGTGAAGATTGGTTCGAAGGGGCTGTAGGTTCGCAGGGGCCGTGTGTTCAACATAATCCTCCATAATGGGGGCTTTTGAGGAACATTAATGATTTATGTTGGCTCTAAGTAATGAAACGTATGCTATTTCTAAGGAACGTATGGAAACAATAATAATTTAAAAAAAAAACATGGAGAGCAATGATGTAAAAAAAAAACGGAGAGCGTGGCCGAGGAAGACACAAGCTAGATAATCATATAATATGCATCATGAAAATCAGGAAGGGTTAGATGAGAATGGGCTTGTTTTCAGTAAAGATACATTTTTATGAATGATAAGTTTTACACTGATCAGTAATATCCGGTGTTCTTTGTCGACGCTGATTCATCGTATATTCGATTGCAGTGAAGCGGCCAGCGACGCCTTCCTCCCCTTGCGATGTGGTAATGGACTCGCCCACGCACAAGAGACCACGTTACACGTAGCGGCCGGTCGATCCCACTTTGAGAGACGCAGGAGAGGTCGCTGCTGGCTGGTGCGTATGATGTGCCTTGCGTCGTGCGATGGTGACTTGTGACGTCACATTCAGCTGGTGCCAGTGCGTTACGCTGTGGATTACCGTGTTCCTATCGTTTGTCCTGACCCCGCGCCGCGCTATGACGTCAGAGTGACGTCATTGAACTAACACGAGGCTTATCGCGCTGCCCACTGTATCTCGCCAGCGCGGCAGTGGAGGACGTATACTGGTGCGAGTTCGGAGTGCGTGTAGCACTGAGAGTACCCCACCGATGGTGCGCCGAGCCGCTATATCGCGTTGATATCGCGTGTGATGTCTGATATCGCGTGTGAGGCGCTCACTGCTCAGACTGCCCGGCAGGGAACGCGCTACTGAGCCGTGGTAACAGGGTCGATTACAGGTGCGCCTGCCGGCCACCCCAAAGGCATTGACTGTATTATCGTGAAAAACATTTACCGACAATATAGATCCTTGTTTCACGTGATCTTTGCAGAACAAAACGGGCGTAGTTTGATCAGGACTTAGGTGGCTCGCATTTGATCTTTTTTTTTAAAGTGTATCATGCCGTCCCGAAAAGTTCCGATATGATTCAACAAGATGTTTGACGTTTTTTTGCCTACTTGTAATAATTTAAAACGGTACCATAACTTTGAAATAGGTTTCCGAGGGTTTAATGGGATACCAGTTGCTCATCACATAATTTATATCGTGCATCCGCCCGGCTCCATTATCGAATAGGTTTTACACGAGGCATGCTCGAAACACTGTCTTTGTATTTAAAAACGCTCTTCACTTTTTCTATCCCTGGACCCTGATTGTTGTTTTTGTTGTTTTTGGCTTTCAGCATTGGTTTGTGATTTAGAGATGGATGTTTGTTGTCTATGGTCAATTTTGTATGCTTGTCTGCATACAATGCATTCTTATTTTTTATTTGAAGTCTTAACTTTTGAATAAATTGTAGCCATATTTTCAGAAGCCTTCACAAATGAATATTTCTTTTCAGCTCGGATGACGGTGAACCTATTATAGTCACCGTAACTGGATAACACCAGGTTCCAGCGCCAACCGCAATTTCAAAATATATAGGTACAGGTTCCCCGTACCGTTACCTATCAGGCATTTTTTTCTGGTGTCCTAAGGCCGTCAACTCCAGCCAAATGAACAACGGTCATCAATTTTAGTAGTTTCATTCTATTGCGGTTGTGTACATACATTATACCAGTTTTGCCATGGCGGCTTTGCTGATGAGCCCAGACAGTCATCGGCCTGATAAGGAATATCCGGTATTGAACGGTGTTATCCTGACGAGTTCGAACGGGACGAAAGCCGCTTTGTCACATTATGCGACTTATTGGACCGGTAGTCGGATTTATCCTGTCCACCAAGTGTTTGGCTCTCGCCCTGCCGTCTGTCAGGTCACTCACCTAGTCGTGTCAGACGCATCAGGCAATTGGGCGAAACGGCAAGGGGTCTACCAGCCGAGGGCAGTGGTAGGCATGTGGAACACTGATAGGCTCGGCACGGGGTAACCGTCGCCAGGCCTACCGGTTTTCTACATGCGTCTTGGCCGAGGGGGAATGAAACTCCCTCGCCGTTTTGCCCCAAATTGAGCTAGAACTTCGCGGAAAAATTAGCATTGTGCTGTTACGGGACGAGATGACTGGAAAACGAGTTTGAATTGGATGCTTCTAAATTCCAAATTTAGAAAAAAGAGGGTATGCCTACCGTAATATGTAATTGATAAGCTTTAACCCTCGCCGGCCGAGGGGGGGCGGGTGCCGCCCCCCCCCCCATAGGGTTTTTTCGCGATAGCTCCGAACACGCTGGCGATAGAGAGCTGAAACTTGGCATACCTGACTTTTGATCCAAGCCGGATCTTTTGACACCAACCGCATTTTTGGGTCAGGTCAGGTCACTGACCTATGACGTCATAAGTGAACCTCTGCACGGTCTTCAGATGTCGCAACTTCGCAACGCCCTCACTGCCAGAGGAGATGTCACCGGGAAATGAAACTTTCAGGATCTAGTATCCATTATGAGTCCCACAACTTGTATATCTCGGATTTTTCCTAAAGGTCATATGAGGTCAGGTCATTTTCGTGACCTCACCATTATAAGTCAATGGGGAAAAATGAAAACTGCTATTCTGGCGCCGGGAACGATCTCCAACTATCCCAAGCACACAGAATCGTAATTTGATGCACTCCTTGCAAGGTTAGATGCGTCACTTTTGCAATGTTGACCTTGCGTGACGTCATTTATGACGTCATCAAGGTCATTTTAGTTTTTCGTCAATAACTCTTGATCAAATTCAGCTAGCGAGTCGGGAAAGCCACCAATGGACTCAGCAAGGCCTGCCGAATCGAATGATATGCGACATGACCCCTTTCGACCAACTTCGTGACCTTGGGGAGCTGACCTGACCTTGACCTGAGGTCAACACCCCAAGTTGACCTGACCCAGACAAAAAGTATATCATTCGACGCGCCTGGACGAGGCGAACACGATGCTGCCAAAATCGGCGCTCTGCGGCCATTTTTTGCGAAGTTATTCACCAAAAACTGAACCGTACCTTGGGGCACTTGACCTGACCTCAGAGGTCACCGGTTGACCTAGGACCTTAAAATTGGGTACCAATCTCTGCGTCTTGTAACGGCGCTTACGCTCGTTTTTTCCGCGACGCGCTAGCTCCACCAGGGGCGAAACGGCGAGGGGGGGTCGTACCCGCCCCCCCCCCCCCTCGGCCGGCGCGTATGTAGAAAACCAATAGGTCCGGCGAGGGTTAAACATTGCATCTACCTAATTTCGATTTTTATATAAAACCATTAGCTGTCTGGGCCGTGCAGATTACCGACGTCCGATAAGGTCGGACACTGACCTGATCAGAACCGGCTTCGCTCCCGTGCGGTTCTGGTTATAAGCAGGTACCTATTTAGTATTTACCGCCACCACCACACTGGCGATTGGCACCAGACGTTCCAGCATTCTAGTTTTCTGGACGACCCGCTACTCCGCATGAAAAATGTGACGACGTGATTGATCTTACAGCCGCAATCGGCGAAAAAAAAAAGACATGACACCGTATCTCGCGCTGTGGTGGTGGGGGGGGGGTTACATCCCCCCAGTTTTTGTGAGTATTTTACGGTACGTAAACAAAAAATGAGACTGATCGCCGATCGGAGGTGTCAGCCAGCGCGGCGGTCAAAGCCTAAATTGTGAACAAGCAAAAATGCTGATAATTTTTACTTTGACCTGACCTGTGACGTCAACGGTGACCTCGAAGTCAATGAAAATGGGTTTCCTTCGATCAGACGCCGTTTGAATTTTGATGATCGGCCCAGTATGGTTTGGAGATAGGAGGGGGTGGGGGCTCTGGAGAACCCCCCTCCCCCTCCCCTCAGTCACTCGCGTTATGGAAAATGCCCCAGTCATGAGCGGGTTAAGGTCAAGGAACAGTTTTGAAGGCGCTTAGGTGAAAATTGAACCACAGATTCGGATTCAGGACCTCAAGAAACCCCACTAAACACAGCTCATATCACGGAGGTCAGCGTGTGAACATGCGAGGTCATTGACCTTGGTTGACCTTAGGTCAATATACAGGGTGTCCGGAAAGTTCTGGCGCCTCTTTTGGACGTCATCTAACGCGCGCTGTGGTTATTGGACTTTCAACCAATCACCGCAGATATGACCCCTCGTTCACCGTTCAGCTAGGGGTCGCGTAATTATGACCTTGAAACCGTTTTCAGTGCTAGGTATATGGGCGAAGATGCGCCTTGTCGCTGAGAGCCCGCGCGAGGGGGCCCGGTGCGGCTTGAACGAGGCGCGAGTTGCAACGCGATGCGGCGTTTCCCGGCGAACGGTTGAGCAGGCAAAGGTGCACTCCAGATCGGAAATGTCTTAGAAAATATTCTCACTCAGCTACAACCACGGTATGCCAAAGCTGCTGAGACTGAAGCAGCATTTCAGCGGCAATCGAAGAAAATCTTGGGTCTGATGGACACAAATGTCCCATCATCTTCGTCAAGGTCAAATAAATGACTGATAGGCTGGTCCACGAGGGGTTCCTGGACACGACAATCAAGGCGACTTGCCCTAAGGGTCATGTCGCACTTCAACAGCACGGAGCGCCCTCCAACAACGCCGCTGCCGTCCAAACCAAACTGACAGAGGAGCTCGGCGGACCAGATCACCGTGGTGAAATGAGATTAGGCCACCTTATTATCCCAGCCTTAACCCGCTCGACTAAGGCATGCTACGCGTTTTGCAGAATAAGCTCTAGGCCACCTCTCATCCCAGCCTGGAGTCCCTGAACACTCGCATCATGACAGCATGGGAGGACAGGAAATGTCCTGCACCGTCGAAACCCGCAGGCGTTTCCGCCCTTGCGTCGAGGCCGTCGTCGGCACAGACGGTGGTTACAATGAATGGGCACTTAGCAGAAGGATGTGGCTTGGTGTTCCTGGTCATTGTTTCGTTCTATTGTTGAGTATCTATGGACCAAAGGCATTTATCTTAACCCGGCAGTTGCTGGGGTATTTCGCCACCCACCGTTTGCTGGGGGGGGGGCGTTAAACGCCCCCAGCCGATAACTCGAGAACCAATAGGCGCAGCGAAACGCACGAGGCGGCAAACGAAAGAGCGCGACGAGACGCTTCAGATGAGTACTTTAAAGTTGAATTTTGAGGTCACAGGTCGGGTCAAGGTCAGGTCAAACACCTGAAATCGGGCTTTCAGTAGCATGGACTTCAGGACTTCGCAATGGGCGCCTCTCGCCATAAACTCTGTCAAAACGGTGCACAATCCATCTTATAAGGCCTACAAGAGTGTCAGCTCCATGTAGGGATCAGTCAAGCATAGGTCAGGGTCAAGGTCAGGTCAACCGGGTACGCACATATCCCCGAAAATCAAAACTGATATTCGCAGCCTGTGACACATGTTTTATAGGTAATTTGGGGCGTAGAACACGATGGTGACATTCATTTTATCATATGTGTACGTGTTTGGCTCAAAAAGTTCAATTTAATAAATTCATGTATCATGGTCGTGAAGTAGTCACGAAAAATTGCCAAGATTCAGTTCAAGATTATGGAAAATGCGGAACGATAATCAATAATCGAAGATAGCCATTTGATTGATCATGGTATTGGCAGTCGAATGGCGTTTACGGCATGTCTGTATGTTTATTCTGTGATTTTATATGATTTTTTGAACATATGCCGTTTTTGGTCGAAAACTCAGAAATCATGACGTCACTAAAACCTCGATATCTCAAAAAAATTTCGACCGATTTTTTTTGAAATTTCGTCACAATAAACTTCAATCAATTCCCTGCAGGTACCCAAAATTTGGCGCGCCTGTGGCGCGCCGTTTTTATGCTATGGCCCGGCGAAAAAAGTGGGGGCGTTTAACGCCCCCCCCCAGCAACTCGCGGGTTAACAATGTTGA